TTTGTTCCCTTTAGAAAGGAGCCACATTATAAAGTTTTTTTTTACCTGGAGATTTTAAATTCAGACTTTAACCCCTTTATGACTGAGCTTGTTTTTAGTTTCTGTTTGTGAGTGACTGACAGACTGACATTTTTACTGTGCGACTCTTCCATGTCAGTAATATACTTTCCTACAAAGTGCACCCACACATACCCACACATATTTTTTAGAGGACAGATAGGTACACATATGTGATATAAATATATAGCCCTAACACCTCACTTAGGACAAATAAAATATAAAAAAATTAAACTTTTTCCCCAGTTTTGATTTAAAAATATTTTAAAAAATTCTAAAAAATATTTTTTTAGAATAATGGCACGGCTAAAAAAAATGCATTTCATACATTGGTCATTTATTTGGAAAAACCTCACATTCCTAGGATTTTAGAAATTGTTCTGTACTTCTCAGCCTAAAACTAAAACCTAACATTTTAATCTTTTTTTTCTCTAAAAGCTAAATCTAAAAGTGGTCACCTGGCATACAATGTGACTGTCAACACTTCATGACAGCGACATGCTTTGCACGCATCCCTGTTAGAGAGGGGGTTAAATAAAAAAAATAAACCCCTTTGGGTGAAAAACCAATCTGCAGCTCAGCTGCAGATTTTCATTGTAATGGGTTAATTTTTATATTGATGATAGTATAAAAATACATTTAAATATATACATTTTTCTTTTACATTTTTAGATTTTTTACACTTTATTTTTTTCTTTTACATTTTTCACTATTTAACATTTTTATTTTATTTAATTATCAAAGCAGTCATTATGAATGAATCTCACTATTACTGCTTGACAATTTAATTAATTTTTGGTTAATATTAGGTTGCTTCAAACTTAAGAGCAGCCAATAATAACCTTAGTGACACTGATACTGCAGCATTTCAGGATCAGATATCACTAAAGGTTTTCTGATTGTTCCAACAATCAGAAAACCTGCAACATTGTATCAGCAATAAAACATGCAACTAAATGTTTTGATTGCTGAAAGTTTAGAAGAAAAAAAAAGGATTTGGATTTCCCAATCTATACAAGCTGTCAGTGAGAGCAGTAAATGACAGTGAGAGCAGACACCGGATTCCTGAAAAGGGAGCTGGTGTCTGAAAAAGCTTAACTCTTTCATTAATGGATGTCTCAATACTGAGGCATCCATTAATGAATGGTAACCGCTGATTCTCAGCAGTTACCAGCATTGCAGAGCCCCAAATAGCTGATTACGTACAGTGTACGTGAGCAGTCATGAGCACTTCGTGGTGGGCCGTACAGTGTACAGCTCCCGTTACAAAGGGGTTAAATTTGAGTTGGGCTTTAAGTCATGTGTGGGCATATGTAGGTGTATGCTTTCAAATACAGCTGGAAATGTACATACTTTGTATTTAATATGATCTTGTAAATGTACTGGGGAAATTGCTAGATTCTCAGTAAAATTGCAAATAAAATGTTTATCATTTGCCATCCAGTCTTTTATATTATATGTTTTTAGTAACCTATACATGGAAAGAGAGAAGGGGGGTTGTGGTCTAGAAAAGAAAATGGAAGCTGGAAAGGGTTGAGTCACTGTTCGAGAATGCATAAACAATAAAGGTAAACTTACATATTAAGAAAAATATTTTATATTAACTCAACTAACAAACTCCTGGCAGGCTGTTTTACACTATTTTGTACATAGGGAGCAACTCACATACCCTAGAAACCGCTCTGAGGTCCGCACCTCTCTCCTTCCAGTTGCGGATGCAGACAACCTTAGACGCTCATCACTGCCCCACAAAGAATATATAGGAAAGTAGTAAAGCAGGACACAATTGATCCCTTGGGTACACACACTTTATTCTGTCAGCAATGAGGGACACTCCACCCAAGTCCTCTCCGTCCACTGCCGGGGCTTAATCATAGCGGGCAAAACACTTCAGAGTGCATGGGTGGAGTAATTGTTATTGCTGTCGGATGAGTTTTTGTACAGAAGGTACCAGCGGTGTGTAAATTCACTACTTTCATATGCAAACTCATTTGTATAACGGTCTAGTTTTCCCCAATTGAAGAAATAAATCTGGTCTGTTCATATGCTAAAGAGCCCTGTATGGCTACCCAATGTTGTCAAATGTATCTAATTAGTCCATACGTTGTAAAATTTCTTAACAGCTTTAAAGTAGGGATGCACCGAAATGGAGTTTTGAGACAAACCGAAAATAAAAATGTCTTCAGACCAAACCGAAAAAAAACGTTTTAAAATAATTTTTTTAAAACCATTTTATTTTTTTACAATTCTTTATTGACTGAAACAGTGTCAAAAGATTACAATAACTGTGTAAGAGGTAAGTGTACATAGTCCACAGACTCCACCGTATTTCACATATAAAACCAAACTTATAAAGTCATATCAATACAGGCATAAACAGTCTCGATACAATATTTTTGCTTCCTTCCACAAATCTACGTCATTCTATAGCTCTATACATGGAAGCTCCTTGACTAATTATGACCCACGAGAGTAGCTGCGTGTCATGGTCAAAGAAAAAGCAGTAGAAAGGAAGAACCAGAAAAGGAAAGGAGGGGGTGGGTCCGACATTCCCATTAGAGGTCCTAGTTTCACTGGGGGGGGCGGATACATATACAGCGAGCCAGAGGCAGATATGCATTTTGAAGACTGTCAAGGATGCCCGGTGGAAGGGATCCCAGTCGTATCGTCCTGAGAAAGCGGAAGAGGGCATTGTGCAGAGGTTCTGTAGCACAACCACGGCCCACAGGTGGCATTAAATTGGGCGTCCGTATTTTTCAATGAGGCTGTTAGGTCCTCCAGCAGGTAAATATCCTGGACTGGAGGTTGGGAGTCCCGCCACTTCAGGGGTATACATGCTCTGGCAGCATCCAACAGATGATGTGTTAAAGAGTGTCTATATCTGGAGATATGTCCGGCAGTCCCATTCCCCCTCTGTCCCTGGGAAGGGAAAGGATACATCTGCTCAGCCTGGGGGTTTTGCCCGCCAATATGAAATTTGACCATGTAGTGTCTTAAAAAAGTGGGAGGGTAAACTGATAGGGAGGGCTTGCATAAGGTACAAGACCCGTGGCAGTACGTTCATTTTCACTGCAGCACAGCGGCCAAACCAGGTGATGTGAAGGGGGCGGCAGGCTTTAGAAATCAAGGGCAATTTTCTACAGAAGCGGGAGAAAGTTAATGGAATAGATACTATCCAAGTCCCTAGGAATAAACGTGCCCACGGATTGGATATGGTGCATCTCCCAGCAAAAGGGAAATTGAGGCTGCAGAAGATCAAACGCCTCCGAGGGCACTGTGACATTGAGGGCCACCGATTTTTGAAGGTTGACTTTAAAATTGGATAGTTGAACCATTTTATTTTTATTCATTTTTCTTTACTTTTTTTTTTTTCAATTCTGTTTTTTATTGAAAGAAATTTTTTTTTTTTTTGCAGATAAAAAAAAAAGGTACAAAACAAGTAACATTGTCATACATTAAGGGGTAATACAATCAAGTAGTGATGTGTTGTCATAAAACAATTGAACCATATGAAATCCCATTACAGCTCCCTGTCATAGGCAAAAAACATAATCCGCTGACGGTGTAGCTCAGAGAGGATCATCCTCCGCTTTTCAGGTATATTAAGGCCTCTAACATTATACGAAACCAACTTAAGTGGGGCCATAACGGTGTGAGAGATGAGGGGTAGAGACGACGGGGGGGGAGACACTTGGGGTTGAAAGGCGAAGAAACGAACAGTCAGCCGGCAACCGGCTGTAAGGGAGTCACGTCCCGGCAACCGCGCCGTAGGAGAGTCCGGGGATGCGGTGTTGGGGGTAGGCCGCATGTCTGTGGGGGTGTCCGGACGCACGAAGAGCTTCTTAAAAGCTGTCTTCGGCGTGGACCGTTGTCCCTTCTGTTTGCCCTTCTTCGACATGGGTGGATTGAAAGGTGGGGGATGATGGAAAGAGCAATGTAAGTGGTGAGTCGGGCCCGGAGCTTCAGGTTGTCACTCCTCACGCGTCCATGGCCTGGCCACGCCCCTCCCATTTTTCTTTACTTTACGGTCGGGGGCTCTGGGGACATATTAGAAGTCTGAACAGAGCCCTGATATTTCCCTTTTAAAAAAAAAAAAAAAAGGATTGAGGAGCCCCAGCATTGAAGGAACAGGAAGCCTCTATACAGAGTTCTGCTGTTCATTCATAAATTGTGGATATAGTATGAGTGACTATGTCCACAATCATGAATGAACAGGAAGTCATGTAGATCACTTCCTATTCATTCATAACTGGGAGTTGACTCTCACTGTCCAGTTATTTACAAACATTCAGCAATTAGCTGAATGTTTGTACTTTGCTCTCCATCCCGAATCAACTGTCACAAGAGGCAGGGTGGGAAGAGAGCTCCGCCTTCTGTGCTATCACAGAGCTCTCCTCCAATCACCGCTCTCCATGCTAACACAGGATACCTAGCCGGGAAGTGTGGGAGGAGAGCTCCGCCTCCTGGGATATCACAGAGCTCTCCTCCAATCACCGCTCTCCATCCTGACACAGGAGGCCTAGCTGGGAGGTGTGGGAGGAGAGCTTGGCCTCTTGCAACAGTGACGGGGCTCTCCTGCCCCTCCGCTGGGCATCCTAATACTTTGTCTCCTCCCTGCTGGGTGCGGAGGGGAGGAGAGAAGCTGGGATGCACTGAATTTTCGGTCGCATTTTCAGCATTTAGCCAAAAGTGCCATTTTTCGGCCTAAATGTTTCGGCACAGCACTACTTTAAAGTACTTAGGTCAATTTTTCTGCTTCAGTTTTATGTAAAAAAGTATACAACCAACCAGCTTACAAAGTAAAATAGGCATTAATAATGAACTCAGCTGGTCACCTTTAAACAGTGAAGGCATGCTTTTACATACGTAGAACCTACAGTTTGTGCCCATTTTGCATAATCTTTATATTAACATTACTTCCCCAGATTTTGAAAAATTCTCACCTGGAATATTCTTTTGCAGTTTCCATGAAATTCCATGCTAAGGCCGATATTACTAGTTTTACTGGAACTTGAAAATTCTATAAGTAGTGCCGTTAATATGGAACAAGCCAATGTTTGCTGTGGAGAAAGAGAAAGACAAAGCATATAATGTGCTGTAAAGTAGTATTGTATTCTTAGGTATTCTCAGGTTTCCATAAGTGTAATAACAACCAATACACAGCAGCAGCTGTTTAATTTGGATGTAAAACAGTGTTAACTCGGCTCATTAATTAAGAGAGATCATATGAAAACTATGTTCTCACAAGCATTTTTAACATGCATGAAGGATAGATTAACGTTTTCCAACTACAGATGCCAAGGGATGATTGTAATGTCACAGATGAAAAACTCAACATTCCGCAACTCAGCCCTTCATGTGTTTTTCCTGAAATTTTGCTTGGGCACAGCATAATGCCTGAGTAGCTTGCACAACCTGAAATGCAAGTGATGATACAATGAGGCCTTGTAGGAATTAGGAGCAGTGCCATCACACGATGACAGTTTCCTGACATGTTAGAAAAAAGGTTTTCAGACTCCCCATAAAACCCATTTTTCTGTAGTTAACTGCAGGACACAGTAGACCACTAGGCACATATTAACACTGTACTCACCATAAAATTTTGATCTCCAGCAATTCACTGGGGGACACAGGAGACCAGTGGACATATGCCCATTGGTTTATTTTTTCCCCACTTGCACTTAATGCTGAAAAGATCTCTGCATCTGGCCACCAATTATTCCAATTTTCTGCACAGAAGAGGGCTTAGCTATTTGCAGTGCAAGTGGGGTGGGGTGGATCTGGCACCGCACAATTCAATGGAAGGGGGGATTGGGGATTCAACTGCCTGTTCTTTATGTAGAATCCACCAGTCTTATGATGGCCATTATTATTATTAGCGTTACTACACAAAATATCAGGTAAACAAAAGATGTTCACTAAAAATAAAAATGCTTACATAGAAAATGACTGCTACTGTACTCAGAGACCTGTTTCTAAACGCCAATTAAATCCCAATCAGATGGTTGGACCAGTGTTCAAGTCTAACTTCGGCCAATACAGTTTCTTTTGCTTTGGGACAGCTTCAAGTGTTAGAATCTTTGCCAAGCATTTATTGCAATGTACCCCTGCTGAGGAGGTTTGCTCACACCTTTTTTTCCCAGTGATACTAGTCACTAAGACAGGAATTAAAAGAAAATTTCCTAAACAGATCGCAAAAAAATTTAAAATTAAAAAGGCTAAGGTCAGACTTTAAGAGTGGACAATAAGATAGCTTGCCACAGATTACTGCCCAGGGGAAGAAAAACAAGGAGGTGAGCAACCATCAGAGGACTGCCCAGCTAACAAACAGGCAAGTGACAGATTGGCCACCAGCCACAGGAATAGCAATAAGAGGTGGCCTAACGTCCAAAAGATGGAGCAGAAATTACACTTAAAATACCATGGACCGGGGAAGGTACAGCAAGCTCCACTTTTACGCTGATCTCCTGTAGCCTATTTTCCGCTACTTCCTGTCTACATGCATGCCTCCATTTCTCAGGCAGTTTTCCAATGGTGGCAACAGTGGACCATGTGCAATGAGTGTCTGCAAAGCGGCCTGTAGTCTTATTGGAGGTGATCAGGAGTCAGTTGACATGCAGTCTCACTGCTCTTTTTTTTTTTTTATTTGCATATGTATATACTAGGGATGCGCCGATACAGATACTAGTATCGGTGCCGAGTATTCGGGCGAGTACTCTTACTCGCCCAAATGCTCCGATGCCTATCCTCATACTTCCGATATCGGGAAGCCGGGCAGCGAGTCATTGCCCGCTGCCCGGCTTCCTGATTGGCCGCAAAGCCGGCTCCATGTTCCCTCGTCACTTGATTGCCGCGACCGTCTGAGTGAGAGCAATAATTCTAGGGTCATTAATCACTGATACCACTAAACTGACGAGAAGTAAAACCTTTTCGGTATGGTAGTTTTTTGCGATTTCGCGTGTGAGCGCAATTTTAAAGCTTGACATGTTTGGTGTCTATTTACCCGACGTGATCCCATCTTTTATATTTTATCAAAAATTTGGGTAAATATAAATTTCTTTTCACTAAAATTAGTTTCAGTACAGCGTGGCATGACGGCTTAAATGTCACTCAAAGTACCGCAGCGCTGAATACTGAAAAAGGGCCTGGAAAAGAAGGGGGTTTAACACCCTGGTCAGCAAGTGGTTAAAGTTTTCCACAAAATACAACTATCACCCAAGATTCAAATGTGAATGCTGGGTGAAAGTTTGGTGAATCTTGTGTGAAAACATTTATAAAATGGCCTTCAACACACTTAGGAGTCCATTCACGTTTTCAATATTAAACACAGCTTTCACCCAAGATTCAAATGAAAAAGCAGTAATCTTAAGTGAAAATATTTTTACATGTGAAAGGGGTCTATTTATAAGTAAAAGCGTGATGATATTTACTTCACAAAAGGTGGTGGAGCTAAATCACATATGAAAAGATGTAAAACTCCCTCATCAGCAAATTCAGAGGGAAAAAAAAAAAAAAGAGCTTTCACGGAGTAAAATGTTGAGGTCCATAAAGAAACAAGTCTATGCCCCTGGGGACAGTGTCGCACACAGGCGATCGTCTGAAGTTTACACTGAACTATGTCCAATACCTCTGTGCTGCAGAAGATTAAAGTGGCGATGATACTATTTATGCAGGCTCACACAACAGCTGACAGTCAAGCCCTGCTGCCACCAACTGCAGCATCTTTGCACAGAAAATGCCTCTCATGTCAATACCTTGACCTTACAGGCGCTTGTTATCTTAGCTAGCACGCGCCAAACTTAATCCCCTCTTGCTGCGCTATACCTAAACAGATCAAACTTGAATAGTCTTCGTGTGTCACCGCCTTTCTCCCAGGGCTCAGTTCAGCTAAAGTGACAATACCATTCCACAACAATGGCAGCTATTTCAACCTTTTCAGAGGTTAATGTAAATTGTAAACACCAGCGGGTGTCCGTGAGGGTAAAGGCAGAACAGCGGAATTCTCAATTATGTCTGAAACACACGACTGCTTTAATTACCCAAAGCAGAAAGCTTTTCAAAACTGACAGGTTAAAGCTCATGTATGTCATCTCCCTGATTGGCACTGGTAAAAAAACTCATGTAGACAACTTACTCAATGCACAACTGCCTGCTAAACACTGATATCTGTTGAAAAAAACCAGGGGGTAATAATTCTGTTTAAAAGTAAAACTGTGATTATTTTACAGTGGTACACTACTAATAAGGCACCCAACAGGTGAATGCATATACATTAAGGGGTGGGGACCTTTTTAGGGCTGCAACAACTAATCGACTTAAGTCGATTATAATCGATAAGTGAAAAAGTTGTCAACGTATTCAATCATCGATATAGTGGCTTTCGATTAGTTGGCCCTGTTCACGGCCCCACACGCGCCGCACCTCCTCCCCGCCTCACGCTCGACACTACCAGACCCGCTCGCCCGCATCCACACCTCCTCAAGCTCACCGCCCACCCACATCCACGATCGGCGTGGGGAGACGACGTAAGGAGGAGCAGGCGTGGGGGATGACAGCCGCCGACAGACAGGCCCGATCTCAGAAGCAAGTTGCTGGAAGACTGCTCAGGTAAGACTGCACTTTGCCACACATGGTGCTCTATAATGTATTGCTGGGATAGTGGCATTTGTATTCCTCTATAGTTGATGGTACATTGTGCTGTATAGTATATTATATTATACAGAGCAATGTACCATCAGCTTTAGAGGAATACAAATCCCAGCAATATATTGTACACAGTATATATAATGTATTGCTGGGTTTTGTTGTACTCCTCTATAGCTGGTGGTATTCCACATTGCACTGTATAGAGGACTAAAAATCCCAGCAATAATACATTATACAGCGCAATGTGCAGCATACCACCAGCTATGATGTACTATTGCTGGGATTTGTTGTACTCTTCTATAGCTGGTGGTATTCTGCATTGCGCTGTATAATGTACGATTGCTGGGATTTGTAGTCCTCTATAGCCGGTGCCATTCTGCATTGATTGCTGTATAATTTTACACTTTCCATTTGACTATATTGCACACCACACTTTTTTTTTTTTTTTACTTCCACCGCTCCAAGCTTCCTCCTGTGATGGACTACAATCTCAATACAAACTAGTAGTCCATTACTGGAGCCATTTTTAAAAAAAAAATACTGATTAACCGATTAATCAAACTTAATAAATCGGCTAACTAATCCATTTTGAAAATAATCGTTAGCTGCAGCCCTAGACAAAAAAAAAACAACTACTGCTCCAAGGAACACACACACACACACAGCCCTATGCGTGTTTATTTGCATGCAGATGGCAGGGGCGGCAGGGTTGTTTTTAATTTTTATTTATCCTATTTTTTACTTTTTATCATATTTTTCTTTTATTTTTTAATTTTTTTCCCACACTTAAATTTATAGCCATCATACAGGGAATAAAAAGCCCTGTGTGATATAGCATTCGGAGGCCCCATAGCACCCTGCAAGGGAAAAGGATATCAAGGGCAGTGCTCAGGGGACCAGATGATTCTGCAGGAATTTAAAGCTTGTAGTTATCAAGAAGCGGTGTTACCGATGTGGTACTTTGACATTTACTCAGCCATGCAACGCCATACTGAAATAAATTTATCATCATTTTTTGGGGACTGATAAAGCTTTCTTTTTATGTATTTAATCACCACTGGGGTTTTCATTTTGAAGGAGAAAAAAAAGATACTGAATAGATCATGAAACATTTATTACCCAATTATTTGGTAAAACATAAAAGATGGGGTGATGTCGGGTGAATAGATGCCAAACATGTCAAGCATTAACCACTCATCAATTTAGTGTTAACAGTGATTGATGGCCCTACAATTATTGCACTCACTCTCAATATTCGCTGCGATATGCAGCATGTGTAGCACAATTGTCATTTTTGCATGCAGGCGCACCTCACCTGTGTTTACATTTGTATGGGCGTGTATGTGGGGGGGGGGGGG